GAATTGTGTGCACCGTCACAACGTTTGTCAAGGCAAATTTTGAAATTTTGATTGCTGTTTTTTTAAATCTTATATATTTTAATTTTCATTAACAAATCTACTAAATGCTACATAATTTTTTTAATAAATTTTTTCTTCCCAAAATTAGGTGCGTGGAATAACTCACCTTCACGGTACCTTGTTTCTATAATAGGCAAAAAAAAAACCAAAATATCGATCATTTGTGGATTCTATCAACTTTCTCTAAAAAACCGTTCGAAAATGTTCCGCTGCTAGGGATATTGTCCCAGTCGTGATTGATCTAGTGGATCAAATGATTAACTCTTTGAATTAATTGCAACATTGTACCAGTCATGGTTGATCCCTTAGATCATTTAATTTGATGTGCAGGACGATTTGGAGAACCTAGCACATTTTATATAGGGGAAATGGATGTAATGTCGGCTTAAATGCAACTAATTTGGGCCCATACATAAATTCAGCAATCGACTAAATTTTCAATAGCAACCAAAAATATCCATTAGTACCGTCCCAATGACGCGTTCATATAGATAAAATTGATAAATAGCAGATTTTTAGCGATGGGCCCAATCTTAGATCCATAGGCCAACATTAGAGCCATTTCCCCTACATGGAAATGAACCGTAAATTGTGCGCAGAGGCTTATTATATATTTTTCGCTGTTAAGGACATTTTGTACCAATGATGTGCGAATGATGTAAACTGCAGGACGATTCGGAGAACCTAGGACATCTTATATACATAGATCGACTCAATTAATCTGTTTGGACATATTTTGCAGCTAGGGACATCGGCTCAATCGTGGTGGATAAAATGATCCTAACTGCAGGACGATGTGGAGACCCTTTAGGGACGTTTTAACGTCTTATATACAAGAAAGATATCGCTCAATTGTGTATTTAGCTTCTATGAATCTCTTTAGATATGCTCCGTTGGGAAGGACCCAGCGTAGGGATTAGCATCCATATCTTTCACGCTAAAGGTCGGTCCCAACCTGTATAATAAACAAATTCACTATGCGTTACATTAACACGCATGGGCATTAGACTGATGCAAAATTTGACTTTTTCGCTCCACAGTGCTTAAATGGTTTCAAATCGGGTCGTGATTAGCCTCCAAAAGTTACAACTCATTTGGTTAGAAACAGACTTCGCACAAACCATTTGAAGTTTACATGTAAATTACTATGGGAAATCTCAACTTTTTGTTCATTGCCTTCTAGTCTTTTTCCATATTGAGTTGCAAAACAGTTTGATAACCATTCTTATAGAAAATTTTCTCAGCTACAACTTTGCTGAAGATTGTTTCTATGTAAAACGAGACAGGAAATAGTTATTAATTATTTAAGAGATTTGTAAACTTATGACATGATCAAGCAGCTGTTCTGTAGGTAACACTGTATTTTGCAGTGTGACATAGTAGCCATAATTTTTGTGTCCTATTCAACGCCCCAGATACACCAATGTTGCCTGCTGAGCAGTTGATTGAGCATGATCATAAGACATCAGTGCATTGAACCATTAATAACTTTCGATCCTTGCATTTATTCAAAAAGGGGTCTTCAGCAAAGTTGTAGCTGGGAAAATTTTCTATAAGTAAAATTAAAAGCTTTTGAAGCAGACCGATATGGTGAATTATTAGGTAGACATGAACAAAAATCTTGGTTTTACCATAGTAATTCCCATACAAACTTCAAATGGTTTGTGCCATCTCAGTTTCTCACCAAATGGGTTCAAATTTTGAGAGGTTAGTCAGGATCCGATTTGGAATCGTTTAAGTATTGTGGAGCGAAAATTTCAAATTTTGCATCACTCTAATGGGCATTAGACTGATGCAAAATTTGAGGGCTCTTCTGGGCCGCAAATAAGCTGAAGTACCTCGCTGTCACTAGTGAGGGGACAATAGTCACCGCGAGTGAGGTGACTCTCCATTTGATTTGCACGCGGTGCCTTTTGTCACCTCACTAGTGACAGCGAGTCGCCTCGCCGCACGCGTGGCTCAAATGGTTCCTAATCGGGTCCAGATCATCCTCCCAATATTTGATCTAATTTAGTTAAAAACTGACTGTGCAGAAACCATTTTTGCTCGTCTCTCTTAAATAGCACCGTATTTATCTACGAACAAATATGATAGCTGTGCTTGTATGAAATTTTCTCAGCTACAATTTTGTTCCAGACCACTGTATGATTCAATAATGTAAGGAACAAAAGTTATTATTCGTTCAAGATGCTGATGGCAGATCATGCTCAATCAACTGATCAGCATGTCTATTACATCATACAGCAAAATACAGCTACTTGATCATGTTATAAGATTACCAATCTCTTAAATAATTAAAAACTATTTCATTTGTCGTTTGGCTAAAAAAACGGTCTTCAACAAAGTTGTAGCTATCGAACTTTCTCTCAGCTCAATATAGAAAAAGGATAGAACTGCCAATAGTTCCACATCAGTCCCATATGAAAAAGTAGGCATTGAGAAAACGGCAGTTGAAGTTAAGAAGTGCAATTTCCATGTAAATATTTAAAAAAAAATCATAGTAAATTAATCGATAATGTTGTCAAGTTAAAATCAGTAACAATGCAGCTTGCATGGTTTGTTATATCAGCGAAAAATATTGCGATTCAAAAAGCAAAACTGTACAATTTAATTTCAAGATGGGACTGATATGCGATTACTTTGCTTGATGGGACAACCTGACTTGCTGTTGTTTTCACATTTTTAATTATAAAAGTCGATAGTTTTATCACATAATATGAAAGTAGATGCCAATTGACAGTGGATAGCGTTGTTATCTCTAAATTTACGAAAATCCATATGGGACTGTTATGCGATTATATCTCTGCCTATATGGCAATGAAAAAAAAAGATTGTATTTCTCATAGTAAATCCCATACAAACTGCAAATGGTTTGTGTACAGACAGCTTCTAAGCAAACGAGTTCAAATTTTGGGAGGCTAATCAGGCTAAAACCGATTTGAAGGGGAGTGAAAATTTCAAATTTTGTTTTAGCCTAATGGTCATTTAATATTACTGCTGGTAGTCGCAAGTCAGTCCCATCTGCATGTTTATCAATTTTGAGTTAGCATCATTATTCAGTTTATCTTTCTATGTTTTTTGAGATGTGCTATTGAAAAAAGGTGGTTTGTTCAAGAAAAATGAAAAACAATACCAAGTCAAATTGTCCCACAGCGAAAAGTAACCGCAAGTCAGTTCCATTAGAAAAAATATGTTAGAAATGTTAGACAACACATCGCATCATGAGATTTGTGTCAAGACAGATTTTGCCCACTTCCCCTATGGTATCTGCAACATGTCCGGATGTTTGCCAATATAGTTCTTACGATACTCAGTTTGACCGCCAATCGATATGGCTTTGAATTATCATATGATTTGATGTATCGCTTGATGGATTTTGATTTAAAACGGATTTACCACTTCTCCGGGGATACCCGGAACATGTTCGGGTGTGGCCAACATGGTGCTGGTCACTCATCATGACTCTTATTGATCTTATTCTTGAATTCTCATGTGAATTAATTTATCGCATGGTGGGTTTGACACGTTTATGAAAAGCTCTGGTCTGATGAAGACCCATACTCACCGGAGCATGTTTCGGCCATTTCTCTGGAACCAGCGGAACAAATCCAGAAACATTCAATAACGTTCTAAAGGACCATGGTATCTTTCTACTGTTCAATACTGTGCTAAACTAATGCAGCATCGTCATGGAATTGTGACTGACTTGCGGTTATTTTTCTCGTTCACGTTAAACGTAATCGCAAGTCAGTCCCACTCAGATTTTGGCCATAAAATAAAAATTTCACGATATTTTTCCAATATTTTTGGGTAGACATAGATACATTCTATCACATTATACGTTTATTTTTAAATTTATCACTCCAACATAAGCGTCAAATCAGAAAACTTGAAAAATCTTTGAACGCCGTTTTCTCATTTCCAGTTTTTTACGGATGGGGCTGACTTGCGATTATGGGCAGAGGGAGAGCAAGTCCAAAAAAAGTTCATTATGCTTCTTTCTTTTCTTGCATGAATTTACGAACGTCAACAAACAACGGAAAAGTCGCGATTAGGCTTCAAATAAATTGCAGTTTTTCAGCGCTTGCTGCCAACCGATGACGATGAATCGCGCTGCAACTATTGAAAAAAAAAAAATCACTCCGCATTACCCAGGCATGTACCATATAGGGACAGCAATGCTCCGAGTTGTTTTTGCGATGTAGTCAAGCATTTGTACTCCACGATAGTTTGTAGGCCAGGGAAGTCAGACATTTTTCACAACAAGACTGCCGTCTCAGCTCTGGTATCCAGCACCTTTGTTTATTATGCTATTGGGAGCTTACGTTCATGACATTTTGTTTAGGTATCAAAATGTTGCATAAGTGTAAATTATTTTGATAAGTTAAACTCTGTCCAGAGTCAAGATCTCTATAGCGGAATCAGATACGAGTAGCTATCTCTCAATGTCATATGGGACATTGGGACTGGTCTATCTTAATCAAGTTCAAGAAAACAACATTTCACACCCATAAAAATGAATGATGATAAGGCAAACTACCCAACCATTCAAAACCGTTGACGAACAAGCAAACAAATTGCTGTTATTTGCACAATTATTAGCGCAAACAAAGCGTCACCACATTACCGTCTGACTTGGAACGTAGCCAAGAGCTATATATGTAGGTACGAGGTTTTCCATTGAATAAAAACATCCACATAGTACTCTGACTGATACTGAACAGCCAAGCCACGAAACTGAACTGCCAGCAAAACAGAGTAGCTCTATCAAGTCCACTATTCCTTGTGGTTGTATCCACTCGCTATTACTAATATATGGCTAACGAACTCTGTCCGTCTCCGCATTCAGTGGCAAGCCCGATTTGTCGTTTACTCTCATGTGAATAAATAAAAATCATCGCAAAAAACATATGCCAATTCAGATATCGGCGGTGACTCACTCAATAAAGATATTCGTGTTGAGGTCTTTCCTTTCCGGCAAACTGCACGCATAGATGGCAATAATTGGCTGACCGTGCTTATCGGTTCCGATAAACTCGATGAACTTCCGACGTTTGAATTCCTTTCGGATGGCATTTTCGTCGGGCTAAAACAAAAATTTTGGTGATTACATTCGAAAATGCAGACGATCAAAATTACACACTTACCTCCACCATCTTCAGTTGTTCCTCGTAATTGTCCGGATCGAGTGTGGTTTTGATTATTTCGTCCTCAGATACTGCCTCGAACTCGCCTGGAATGGGTATGCCGGAGAAAATGAAAAGAATGAGCTGGAGTGCTTCGAACTATTACGAACAAGAAGTTAGTCGGTTGGAACCATTTGGCAAAGTGATTGTGTAAAGTTATACAGAGAATCACCACCACGTCATGCCAATGCATCGAGCTGTGATGGAATGGCATATGGTAACCCTCGAGAGTCCAGACGTGTTAGTTTTTAGTTCGATGATTGGTTTTTTTTACAGCGAAAACGTATCGAAACCCACACACCACCAAACGATTCTTTATCGCAGTTCAAAAAAGCGCTTATCGTATCGAAAGGGAAGAGAATTCAATCAAAAGTGACAGCGTACTGGTACCATACTTTGTGCGGTACACTCTTTAATTTTCGAATATTAATCATCAATTTATTTTAAATGTTACCACTATAAACACTACGTGCTGTGTTCCGAGAAATCATTTTTTTTAATCGAGTTGTTAAAATTGAGGACCGACCAACATTACATATGCTTTCATATGAAACTGAGCAAAGTATGGCTTCGGTATGGCAGCTAGAATCAAGGATCAGACAGAGTGAACCACCAAACCCTTTTTTTTTTACTATAAACATTTTAACACATTTTAGGTCATTGGTGACTTGTTTGGGGATGCGTTTTGAATTTGTGACATTTAGCATGAGACACATGTATGCTAACCACCGGCCCGTCCCCCAGCTACATCTCCTTAAGAGAAGCTTACCGCCCCGAAAAAATATTGGAAAAAGATATTAAAATATAAAATCATTTTTTTACGTAGGATTACGTCGTTCGGTAACATATTGGGGGTGCAATTAAAAAAAAAACAAACTCTACTGCGTTACGAAAAGTGGTCAGGTTTTGACCACTTATAACTCTGTCAATAGCGGATGGATTTTGATTCTAAACAAGCCTATCGATTGGGTTGTTTTCTACAAATCTGCTGAATTGAACACTTTATCAATTTTCAGTTTTACTCAAAAAACAACGGCCATTGAGCAATATTGCCACGCCAAATGACAAATCGGAAAAACTCGACCTTCCCAGATTTGCATGAAACTTTGCAAAATTGTTTGTTGGGCAGTGATTTTCATTTTTGCTAAAATTCAGCCAATTTACATTTTCAAAATGGTGCCTTTGCAATTTTTCTGGCAAAAATATAGCGCGGAAACAGCATTACTGATCAAATTAACGTCTGAGACTAAGTTATAATGTTTTTCTGGCAAAAATATGTTTTAATTAATTTTGGTATCCATGATTGTATCCGGACCTACCTATTTGATGAATACCAAAATTAATTAAGTGGAATTAAATGGAAGATAACCTTTTTTTGCTATTTTATTTAACCATTCCGCTAACAATCCAATTTCATTACTTCATTATGATGGCTACCAAGCCTTTGGGATTTTTTCCTTATTTGAATAGATTTTTCTCCTTTACTATACTTAAATCTTAGTTAGGTAGGTTCCTATTCTACATGTTGCAGTTTCATTTTTATACCTGTGATCTTGACATTTTTACCTAGGGGATGAGTACTTAAGGGGGTTAGGTTTTTGATAAGTCTTTAGTGGGAATGACGAGATTCCTAACTTGACGCACTCGATCATTTTAGACGATTTTACATTAATATTTTTTTAAATGTTAACGTTGCAAATATTAGTTCCGGTGCTCTAGGGATGATAGTGTAACAAAGTTTTTAAAAATATCTCGCCAAAATCGAAATGCTATTAAAAATAGACAAGTGCGTCACCATTAGGAACCACGTCAAATATGGTGCTGGCACGGTAATTGATTTAGAAGTAGAAGTGTTCTCATTCGTCGAACCGATCATCCCGTATACAGTCCACTGAAGTCGAAGATCCATCATCCAAAGGGAATCGTCAATCTAACCAAGTATTCAATCCCAACGACGATTACCCTTCTGCCATCTTATGCTGAACGAAACAATATTTTTTACTAAAAATAAAAAAAAAGCATTTATTGTTTATTTTTCCCAAAAATACATTATTTTCTCTTCAAATTTATTGCAAAATTCAGAAATCAGAAACATTTTTTTGAAAAATTCTAGGGACGCTATTTTGAAAATTTTACAAGATCCAAAATGGCCAAAATTGAGTAAAAATGATAATCATTGCCCATAATAACCCACTAGGCAAAGTTTCATATAAATCGGAGAAGGCATGGAACTGCTCTTTTTGGTTTGTTAGTCAATTTTTTTTCATGGTGAGATAGAAAAATATTTTTACATGGACATTTTTCTCAGGAAAAGGAAAAGTTGATTTTCTTGGAATTTTAATAGGGGAATTTACGTATTCTCGTCAATCTAAGCAGCGTCTGCACTTCTACTAGCATTTTCTCAGCGTCACGCACATATATGATGTGTATGTTTGTTTACATTCATCTGCTGCTTGCTTTTCTATCCATTCCAATCGACAGAATTTTTCAAAACGTTTTGAATGCGTTTTTACAACGCTCCAAACTTCTCAGGTGAGTGTGACTATTGTCGGCAGCCTCTTTTTCTTCGGCAACCTTCCCATTAGAACTGCGTGTTAATCAGCTGTTCTATTATCGGCAACTCGAAATCAACCCCATTTTGTAGTGCGTATGCTTTATTTGAAGAAAAATGTAGCATTACTGGATTGCTCGATCGTTCAAATATAATCAGATTGAAGCTGACAGGCTAAACAATCGTTTGGACACATTCAGGGAAGTGCGTTGATGGGAAAACATAGTGAAATTAACGTTTAAATTTTGGTTGCCGAAAACAGTCAATGGGTGCCGAAGCCAACATTTACCCTAAGTATCTTTTATAAATATTTTTATCAAAAACAAAGCAAGCCAGAAAAAAAAATGTTTTGAGCGTTTAACTTAAGGGTGACCAGTGAATTTTCATTTTGAAATTCCCGGTTTTCCCGGTTCAAATCTTTAAAATTTCCCGGTTGTTAAGGGGTCGTCCATTAATTATGTCACACATTTAGGGGGGAGGGGGGTTTTGAAAACTGTGACGAGTCATACAAAAAAAAATTAAGGTGCATACAAAAAATGTGACAAAGGAGGGAGGGGGGTTGAAAATGGGGCAAATTTGCGTGACATAATTAAAGGACCATCCCTAATATTCAACAAAAAATGAAATTGTACGCATTTTTAAAAACGTGGCCAACTGTAAATTTTCATAGGTTATTTGTAGAAAAATAAAAGCAAAATTATAGAAATAATTTGTTAAAGCTGAAAGTATAAATTAAACTCTATGAGTCACTTAATGCATAAAAAACAAATCATTGATCTTTCGAGATATTAAAAAAATAATTTATATCACTTTTTATGCTCAATACATCTTATCATTGCAAAGCTCTAGAATTTTTTGAGTAATAGAGATTAAAGTCACTAGGCCAAATGCTATCTGGATGAATAGGTTATAAGACAGAATTGTGAAAAATAAGAGATTTAATTTAAAAAATGTTTCAGAAAAAAATAACTTACAAATGAGAATTAGAGGACATTGTTAGGGATATCGGTTTAAGAAAATGTGTCTTAACATTTCAGTACTCTCGCTGATGTACAAAGCTAAACACGAAAAAAATATGTAAAACCTACTGACGTTGTAACTCGCTCAACATGAAACTAAACATGGTTCATTAAATTTAATACCTACGTCCAATAGACCAATAATTGAAGAATATTACTGAAAGGTTATATACTGAAAAGAATTTATTGAAAGGAATTTACTGAAAGGAATTTACTTAAAGGATAAAAAAAATGATTTAAGAAGATTTCCAAGATTCTGGGACTGTATATTCTGAAATTAGAACTTTTCTTCAAAATATGTGATTAATAACAATCTTCGTGATGCAAGATTTGTAGAAAAAATAATTAAAATCGGAGATTTTCAAAAAAATTGAAGTTCACAGATATAAAAAAAATCATATTTATGAGTTGTTGAATCATAATTATCAGCATTTGTTATAACAAATTACAGAACAACCTATAGAATCTTGCGGACAAACCTTGGAATTTTTAGTAAAATTTAAAAGTATTCAACGTGTTGATTTCAAACGAATATTGAGGAGGATTCCCTCATAATTTTTGAAGGAGAAGTTTTAAGCAGAATTCCAGAATTATTCTGACATGCAGTCCTTAGAAATTGTTAGATGAATTTGGAAGGATTTCTGTGGAGATAAATTTATTAGAGATGTCGCACTTAGACTTTTTTTATTTTAAAATCTAGAGTTTAAAAAACTAGATTTTGGGACTTGGGTGCTGTTTATAACCTAATTTGACCAATTTTGAGAGATTTTAGACTCCCCTCCCTCTGCGTAGACAATCGTCCATACACAATTTTGGAAATTTGTATGGACCATAGATAATAACCAAAAAACCGCCCCCCCATCCCCCTATACTACCGTTAATAGGAACACTTTTGCAAATTAACAGTGTCTACGCGGTTTATGAACAACCTTGGAACGTCAAAAACTTTCCACATCTCAATGTGGACTTACATACCTTTGCAAAACCACGCGTGAAGAAAGTTTTCCGATTATACTTTCAAAATGTTCTATCTAACATAAGGAAACTTTTTTTGTTATCACACTTGATGCTAAATTTCAGAACTATGCATAAAAAATATTCTAGGACTTACAGAAGTATTTAAGTTTCCACCTTAAGCCCACGTTGCAGTGAATGCATGAAATCGAGCTGCTGACAAAAGATGTAAAGGATTTAAAGATGAGACTGATATACAGCTACACATTTGAACTTTTATTTTCAATTATGCTAATGGAAGCACATAGCTCACATCTGTAACTCATATTTCAATTCCCTCACCTCATAACCTGCCTGTATCTTGCATATACCTCGTTACGTATCGTCCAAAACACCGATTCAACAAGTGAAGTCAAGTCATTGCGAAAATGAAATAAAACTGCTCAATAAATATTCATTTGCTTCCTAATTCAACCCTCCTTGTCTGCCTGGTTGTTATTTTATTGGCACGTTCGCATCCTGCCCAGAGCAGTCTCTTTACCCTCGTGCTTTTGATTTCGCGCTTGAAAATGCAGACTTCATAATGCAGTTGTTTCGTGAACCCCTCGACCATCCATGGCAAACCAATGAAACCCAAAATAGACTCGCAAGGGTGTGCGAATTTTCCCTCAAACAGAGGAATTATCTTAATGGCATAAATTTTCTCTCCCTTCCCACATCGATTCCAGTGTTCCTTCTTAAGTATTCCGGAACAATTTCCACGAGCCGCTGATTTTTGGCACGTACCGGTCATTTGCACACGAGTTGTTGCGGTTTCTCATTCCCTACCAATACCTTTGCCTCACGATTTCATTATAGGGATAGAGAACTCGTTTGTCAAAGTTTGGCATAATGTCTCCATAATGACCCCGTAGCTCTAAAACGAAGGTTGACTCCGATCGAGCAGAATTAATAAATCAAAACGGGTACTTACCGGAAAAATTGTCCTCATCGAAAATCACCGTACCCCCAGGTTCCGGAGCCGTTTGGGACAATTCTGTATCGTCGAACTCCAGGTTCGGTTCGTAATCGTGCCAATCGGACAGACTGGGATGTGGATCCTCACCGTGGTCCATCAGCGAAGGGTTCATTGGTGCACCTGAAATGCGATCGATTGGAAACAAAAGAGAAAGTCATTGTAGTGGTTTGATTTTCAAGGGGGAAGGGAAAACTGTTTTTGTTTGATAAGATATCGATTGAATCAAACTAATTCAAGTGTACTAAATCAATAAAACATTTATTGGGTGCTGAGGGGCCCGTAAAGGAATAATAGGGTGGTAAATTACTACCGTGTTGAGGCTCCCGGCGGTTGCAATAAGGAAAGAGTGAGATGCGTATTTTACTAATACTAATATCTTTGCTGGCGTTTATGAACAATGTAGGGAAATTAGGGGCAAGACCGGCACCCTGCGCAGGATTTCAAAAAGAAAATGGCAACATTTTACACTAACATGACGAGCAAGCAAAGTGCATGATTTGCAGGACTCAAAGAGAACATATTGTTCTTTTTTTTTTAAACTTTATTAAAGAGATTTTTAGCCTTAGGCTAGTTCATCTCTAACATATTGTTCTTGTATTTTACTTAAAACCATCCCTTTTCAATATCTTAGATTTTTCGAATAATTGTGAACCTTTGGACGAAATCAGATTTTTGAAAACAACCAGATATTTTTATTTTTTTGTGATTAGCCATTGGAGTTTTCCCATCGAAACTGATCCTAGAAAGCCACGAATGGTTTAACTCTTGAATTTGAGGAAATATAAATAATTTGAAACTGTCATTCATCTACATATATTCAGGTCACAACAAGGGGCAAGTCAGCCGTACTCAGAGCAAATAGTTTCGCTGCGAGTAAATTTGAGCAACTCATAATAACTCAATACTGATCAAAGTAGTCTCGCTTTTTTTTCAAAAAATACAAACCTTCAATGAAAAATAGAAACAGACGTCATCTACTGCACCTATCTATTGCACCGAGGACATGCTTAGCTTGTACCGCTTGTACCCGAAGATATCATAGCCCTTACATTATGACGTTTCTATTCCTCCTGGGATATGAGTTTCGTGGCGACGTTCCTTGTGCTATTGAATACTACTTCTGTTTTCATCACCCATTTCTTTCACATAATTTGTGAAGAATGAGGAGGAAGTCAAATTCCAATTGTTGCGATGAATTTCAGTCTATGAGCCAATGATGTTGGCGTATGGACACTATCCGTTCTTGAGTTAAAACGCAGTGTATTAAAATAGGATTTCCGGAGAATCCCAGAAGAGCTCAATGCTAAACTTTGCCTGTCAGTTTAGTTCCGGGCAATGTGATTTTCTTCAGCTGAAGATCCTTATTGGTGGACTCAATACCTCATGCTACTCATGGGAATTTAGCAAAGTGAAAATGTTCCTCCCACCACTGCTTAATACTCAGAAAAGCAGATACAAACGGCACCACAAGCCACAATCTTAAAAAAGTACAGCTCGGTGACGGTATCCGTTGACTCAGACCTGGTGGTTGTCTTGAATCATCGTAACCACCCATACATTCTGTAACACCGATATCCTGGACAGAATTATATAATTCAGCAAATTCCTCAACAGCACCATAAGTATCACATCCAGAAGAACTTAAGCAACAGTTTTCAGTTGCTTATGAATTTACTGTTGCAAAATATGACAGATTTCTACTTAAAAATCAGGTTGCTATGTGTATTGGATGTTGTTCAACGCAAGTTACTCAGAGTTGCTAACAGTTACTCAGAGTTACTCAAAATTAACTCTGATTTTACTCATGTTCAAAAGCTGTCTTGCCCCTTGGGTCACAACTACAAACGTTTAAAAAATAGGGGACATGACCACCTTTAATGTTGATCTGGAACTTATATTTATTCTATATTCATATCACAAGCCCAAATTAATTTAATTAAACAACTGCAAGTGTTTTTTAAACAAAATCAGATCTATAGGGTCAGTTTCATTAATTGGCTATTTTTACGATTTTTCTTAAAGGCCAGCTTGTGGAATTCACGGAAATGCTTCAATTTCTAGCACACAAGAAAACCCCAGTAGCTATCAGAACTGAAGATAATCCACGATTGTTTTTGAGAATAGAAGATAATACTAGATTACTTTTAAATATAAATATAAGATCAGAGATCAGGGTACTTTTAGAACACTATGAGGGATTGGTTTCACTTTCTTTTATAAGCTCTCCGTAAAATCTAATATGCCAACCCGAGCAAAATTAGAGATCTAATTGAAATCAAAATTTGCTGTAATGATGTAACAATGAGAACAAAATTCTGCACTTGGAAGTCAAACGGAAAACTAATCCTGCATTCAATGAAATCAACATGATTACTGATTTTGCATTCATAATATTTAAATGAACACGGGTCTTGTCTTGTGTAAATGGTTATCCGATATTTCTCACGCTGAAAGGCCTAAATTCAAATCTCGCCCTAAAAAAACAAATGAATAATAATCGTTAGTTCAACAACAGACGAAATTCAATTCAACAAGACGTTAACAAAAGCAAAACTCTTGTCTACATAATGAAAGCTTAATATGATATCAGATTTATGTCGCGACAATCGAAATCAAAACGAGTATTCATTTAGGAACATATATGATACGAACAGCAAATTTTTGTACAGATTTGCATTCATTTCGTTAACCGACTTTGCTCGGGAATCCTGCATGTTCGATCGCGATCGCTAAGCTTATTTTCCCCCTTATTTTCATCTTAACTCATCACTTACACCCAACCGTACCAAGTGAGCAAAACATCACGCGCGATCGAGACCATCCCGCCGGATAGCTTTTCAACTGGAACGTACTCACCAAATCAATTCATGCTCAGTGTCCGATGCCGATCCAGAGCCTTTAGAGCATAATTTCTGGGGGGATGCAATTTAATTTCCGCACTTTGCCTCTATCAAACAAAACTTCTAAATTCATTTACATTTCTTTTCTGAACTCTTCTAATATACTTAAATTTGGGATTCTCTCTGGGAGTACTAGAAAATTTATTTATAACAGTGCAAAACTTCTAAAAAAAATCTGATTCTCACTGAAGTTTTTTTTTTCAAATCCTCTTGAATTATCCTTATAATTCTCATGCAATTTAGCTCAGAATTGTTTTTAAATTTGGCTCTGAATTTTCATGGAGATCTCATCTAATACTAGAAAAAAAAATGTCGAGGTGCCATGGAAATTATTTTTGGAATTTGCTTAAAACCCTCGCCCAATTATTTTGGAATTGTATCCTTAAAATTCTATTTCCTTGGTATTTTTCACGGATCCTTCAATCCTCTTCACAATCGCCATGGAATTTTTCTTAGAGTTCATCCAAAAACTGCCTATGACATTTTCCATGAAATACCTTGGTGTTATCTCCAGAATTCTTCATTCTGAAATCTGCTCAAAATTGCTTCCGAAAAATGAAATTTCTTGAAAATTCCCACTAAAGAACTTATTAAAATTTAACCCCCTTAAGTACTCATCTCCTCCTGTGATCTTGACCTTTTTTTTTACCTAGGAGATGAGTACTTAAGGGGGTTAGATTTTGATAAGTTCTTTAGTGGGAATGACACTGATGAAGACTGCACATTGTAGTCGAAATACGTATCTGTCATGGATACCAAAATTTATGTGGAATTAAATGGAAGATAACCTTTTTTTGCTGTTTTATTTAAGCATTCCGCTAGCAACCCAATTTCATTACTTCATATGAGCAGTTCAACGCCAAATGACGAATCGGAAAAAAAACTCGCACTTTTCCGATTTGCATGAAACTTTTTTTTTGCTAAAATTCGGCCATTTTGGATTTTGTAAAGTGTAAAAATGACGTCTTTTAAATTTATCAAAAAATTGAAGCACGGAAACGGCAATTTCTGATCGAGCTATCATGGTAGGAATAACGGCCAAATCGCCATTTGCCCCAACAGATTGCGTGTGAGAGAAAATAATAGAGTATATGTAATGTTGAGGTTTTTTTGATACTTTACCACAGTGGAATACATAGTATGAAAGTTGAAAACAGATGTGTGAACAAGAGAATATAATGGTGTGGGTTTTTGATCTAATTTCCGTCCTATTAAGCACAACCCGCGCTTTTCTTCCAACTCTATTTTCTGAACGAGTTTAAACAAGAAATGGATTATTTCTGTCAAAGATGACTTCTAAAATTATTGATCTTTCCATAAGTACCGTTGGATTTGATAAAGAGTCACAAGTTGTAGAGATATTGTTTAAAATCTAATACTGCTTCTTGATTCTAAATTCGTTCTACGAGTTTCAATTCCGTCTTAACGCATTGAAACGCCATTAGATTTTCTTCGTCCTACGGATAAACGTAGAAAAAGGGGATTCGCTAGGAGCGCTTCTTTTGTTTTGAGAACAATGAGCGTAAATATTCATACAATGCGCTCTAACAGGGTTTATGTTGTAGCTAATGAACTAACGCATCGGAAAAAACCTATTATTGATTTGTGCACGGTGAAATCATTGATATTATTGATCTTTTCTGATCGATAGAACGGAAATGGGCGATTACGACGAAGTAGCGCTCTACCCTATGCGATATCAAATTAGTTGATTCCAAGTTATATAAATGCTTCAAGACCAAATTATGGTCTACAGGCCTATGATAAAATCAAAATTTTTACTTGGGATCAGAGGCGGTCCACCAGATGTGGGTGGAACAAGATACTGGTTCCGGAGATGTATTGCCGGAACATGTTCTATTTTGTAAATGCCATGAAACTAAATGCGGCCTGAAATGAATTAAACCCACCATGTGACAAATCAAATGACATGAGAATTTTAAAAAAATTAAAGGATTGTGTCCTAGGCACGACCGCAGTATGACGTAGAACCTATCTATCTTTCTCTATCTATGATGCATGATATATGCATTTAGGTTAACATCCGACGTCCCTCCTTTTTTGGATGCAGCAGGAATTTTCCACCATTTTCCAAAAAAGATAAGAAAAATAATAAAGCTGCTCCTCAAACTTCTCAAAAGAAATCCAAGCCCGAACGAGGTTTGCTAGCTTTCTCGGACATTGTGGAATTCATATTAAATATGTTCAACTTACAAGACT